CCTGTTATCGTTTAGTGTAATTAGTGTCCTATAAGTTCTCGTTGTGTTTGTCTAGTGTTGTGTGTTATTGTTTGACTGTCGTGCCGGTAGGCTGTTATTCTACTGTTTGCTCGGTTGAGCTATTTCTCCATATTGTTTGGAGTGTTTTGTCGCACCTGTTAGTGCGCCCGTTATTTTCGCCTACGTGCAGAGTTTTCGCCTCAGGGCATTTATTCGTGATTGTTTTTGTGTGCATCTACTAAAGTCTGTTGGACTAACGTTCTGCGTCCTGCGCCTGATTCCACCACCACACCCACCTACATCTACCTTGACAGAATAACACACCACAAGAATGGAATCAGTAGGAGCCGCAGCAGCACAGGCGATGCTGGAGGACCGGGTCCGCGAGCAGAATGACCAGATCCTGCGGATGGGGTCCGCACTGCAGGAGGTGATCACCACCATCCGAGGCTGGGAGACCCGAGGGACACCTCCACCACCATCCTCCCTGCCCGCACCATCGGCAAGTCAGCCCATTCCCGCTCCGGAACCCAGAGGAGTTCGACTCTCGCTCCCGAGGGCCTACGATGGGACCGCTGCCGGGTGTCAGGGATTCCTTCTCCAGGTGGAGCTTTACCTGGCCACCGTGCACCCGGCGCCCTCGGGACACGAGAGCGTGTCCGCCCTGATCTCCTGCCTTTCCGGTAAGGCGTTGGAATGGGCCAACGCAGAGTGGAGGAGGATCGACGCTACCACCATCACCTACGACGAGTTCTCCCGCCGCTTCAGGGCGGTGTTTGACCATTCCCCGGAGGGGAAAGCGGCGGGGGAGCGTCTGTTCTGCCTCCGGCAGGGGAAGAGGAGTGCCCAGGAGTTCGCCTTAGAATTCCGTACTCTAGCGGCGGATGCAGGGTGGAATGAGCGGGCCCTCATCGATCACTACCGATGTAGTCTACTTGAGGACGTCCGCAGGGAGCTGGCCTGTAGGGACACCAGCCTCTCGTTCGACCAGTTGGTCGACATGTCCATCAGGCTGGATACCCTGCTAGCTACCCGCGGACGTCCCGAGGGGGGTCCGTCCATTTCACCCTCCAGCGCTTCCGAGCCGTGCCCCATGGAGCTCGGGGGCGCTGGCGCTAGAGAGAGGAGGGGTCGGATGACGAGGGGGTCCATCTCCTGCACCAACTGTGGTCGGGGAGGACACACCGCGGCTAGGTGCTGGGGATGGCCTCCTAGGGGAGAAGACGACAGGTCCCGCACTGGGGAGTCCTTCCAGGTGAGTAGGCGCCCCACTCACCCAGAGCTCTCTGTGTTTGTCTAGTGTTGTGTGTTATTGTTTGACTGTCGTGCCGGTAGGCTGTTATTCTACTGTTTGCTCGGTTGAGCTATTTCTCCATATTGTTTGGAGTGTTTTGTCGCACCTGTTAGTGTGCCCGTTATTTTCGCCTACGTGCGGAGTTTTCGCCTCAAGGCATTTATTCGTGATTGTTTTTGTGTGCATCTACTAAAGTCTGTTGGACTAACGTTCTGCGTCCTGCGCCTGATTCCACCACCACACCCACCTACATCTACCTTGACAGTTCAAGCAGAACAAGGCATGTTTGATCTGTCTGCCAGTTTTTTCTATTTTTTTCACATCATTTTAGGGAAAACTTAGAATTGTCTGATTCTTGTCATTATTTTTCTCCTCTAATAATAATATAATAATATGCCATTTAGCAGACACTTTTATCCAAAGTGACTTACAGTCCTCTCTCTGGCAATTAACAGCTGCGTACCTACTAACTGGACTGGTAAAACTTAACAGTTCTGGAAGCCACCTTATGCCTTGTTAAATAATCTACTGATCTGTGGTCTTCTGCAAAAATGTATTGTAGCATTCACTGTGGTTTTTGGGGGATGGTGCATGGCACATTTTAGTCGTTTAAAAGCTGTCCTTCTAAGCTCTCTGATGACTTTGGTCCTAATGGCTATAGAAAGATATGTGTTTATTTGCCATTGTATCCACTATCTGAAGATTATGACTTCCAGACGTGTGCGGTTTACCTTGGGGATAATCTGGGTTCTGAGTGTCACTGTTAGCATTTATCACCAGATTCTGCTCAATCAGGGACAGGGTGCATTTAACAGAGCCACTGCAAGGCTGTTTTGTGAGCCTATAATAGTGATAGGATCTATTTGACATAGTCCTGCACAAGAGGTACTGCTCCATGGCCCTCCCAGCACCATCTTGACTCAACCATCATCTTCTTCTCATTTTACAGATGCATATACAAGAAGGCACACAGGGCTGTTGTAGCCCGCCAACTAAATAACCACAGTGCCTGTAGCGCTGTAGCCATCTTCTTCTTCTTGTTTCTTCTGCAGCAGATGCCAATAATCTACTTTCTAACCTCTATACTACAAGAACAAACTCTATCCTGTCTCTTGTCTCAGCAACGGAGAATCCAGCATGTCACATTGCTGGTGTTGCTCATGGTGCCACCGTGCATCAACCCTATTGTTTATATGATCTGTGACCAAAATGCCTCTGGGAGAGAGAGGAGGAACACAGAAAGGTGGGCGAGATGAGAGCAGGAGACCAGAACCAGAGCCGCATATCCCACTTCCACCTCCTCTTCCTCAGGTCGAGAGGTCTCATGATGATCTAAGAGGACAGTTAGTAAGACAGCAAAACTAAAAGATAGGAATATTATTATTGTAATATTTATATTTTAATTATTATAATTATTATAATAGTTATTTTATGTATTGCTATTGTCTACTGTATATGTTTTAGGATGGACTTTATTAAACATATTGTGAGCTTGTCTGAAGGTTACGCCATATAGTTTACTGGATATGTTGAATATTACGTGCTTGTGGATGTTGTGCAAGTTTGTTAGAATTTGAAAACAACATTTTTATCTGCTCTCAAGAGACATCAGAGTTTAATAAGGAGACAATTCCTTGTAGTGTATTAACACTGCACAATATATTAACTATTTCAATACAAAAAAATATCTGCATTTGCAAAACATTGTATTTTCTCACTCTGCTTTGTGAGCTTCTTGGTATTTTAAAGTAATGAACAAGTCAAATATTTTACGCAGTGTATTTACTAAGACGTTGGGAGAATCCTGAAAAAAGCTTTTTTCTCTGTCTTTTATTGATGATAATGTGGAGGTGCTGTGTGTCTGTCTTTAGACTGGGATTAAACTATGTGCAATACATGCAAAAGCAACATTAAAAGTATTTGTGTATTGTTTTCAATGACCAAAGAAGGTCAATATGTTCCATATAACTAGATGATGAAATTAAAATGAAGTGTTATGATAACATAATGATTACCACTCAGTAACAGGATAAATGTGAATTAAAATAAGCATGAAACATACTGCATAACCATGAATAGAATAAGATTTCACAATAAAAGTGTGCTTGCTGAAGCAAAGAACACTACTGCAGTCACTACTACTACAGTGTACCATTCATAGAGGTAGAAAAAGGCCTCTGGATGAATAGAACCAATTATAGCATGAACATTGGTATTGAGGGCTTCCACCATTTTAAAGTAGTCAACTGGGTGGGGATTCTTATGGGTTGGGAGTGATCAGCCAATAGGCTCTATGCACGCATCACTTCCGCATTGGCGTAAGGATGCTTGGGCATTTCCGGTTACCGGAAAAAAACAGACAGTGACAGTAGACCGTTATGATGGCAGAGATTAAGTTTAAAAGGTGTTTGCTGGAGTTGCCTAAAGTATCTGGTAATGATATACGGACGTACGACACCACGTAGCAAACTGGATAAAGGCTTCAAATTTTACATTTCTTATTTTCTTTGCAACTTTGAAGGTAATATGCTAACACTAGCTAGCCTGAGCTAGAAGCCTTGCTTTGGTGTTTTAAGTCATGACTCCGTCCTGCTTCAGGTTAATCATGCTTTAAATAAAGTTTAATCATGTGTATATACCTCTCACTTCATGTGTTTGTACTTTTATGAAAGTATCAGATAAAAACAGGGCTACAAATGAGATCTCTGTGAGAGCCCACTGCTACCACTCAATGAAGAAACTAAAGCCACCACACCAGCTGAGAGTAGGACTAGATTAAGTGACACGTTCAAAGTTCTGTTGAAGGTTCCGTTCAACACATGTTTTACTCGTTTAATGTTACCACAGCTTTGATTGCCATTGCTAAGAGAACACTTTAGAACTTTAGTGGTTTTCACGATAGCTGAACAGTGGTAGCCTAATACAGACCAGGGTAGCTGAGTGGGAATTGCCATGCTTTGTTGTTGGGTCTGTTGTAAACAAATTGGAGTTTGGTTTGAAATGTAAACAATAATGAGATTACTACTTTTTCCTGACTTGATGACTGCAATGACAGTAACATATTCCACTCAGCTATTCTTCAAACTGCTGATGTTCTACTCAAAACTGTCCTGTCATCTTTACTTCTTTCTTTATAAACATATGGCCCAACTTCCTTGCTTTTGTACTTGATGTTTCTACTTTTCAAGAGGAATTAGGAGCAAACCTTCACTCTACTGTTGTTATTGGTACTAGGCTACAATGTTGCACCACTCACCTACTGCTCTGCCAATACTGTTTGAAGGTAGGTAAATGGCACAAGAAAATAGGTAAGTGGTGGGAGACAGTATAGCCAAGTGGTGCAAGACAGTAGGAAAGTGATGCAGAAAGCACAAAAGTGACACGAGACAGTAGATAAGTTGCTTACACCAGTAAAAAGTAGAAAAAACTAGTTTTGATCTTACACCTGCTGCTGTAGACCCTCGTCTTTCAAAACCCATTAAATTATGCTTCTGTGTATTTCAGATGATATTGCGTGATTCACAGCCAGTTGTGCTTGTTAAAAGCTACTGTTCCTGTGTGACTGGGTGTGGGATATGCAATCATTTGGTTGCATTACTATATCAGACTGCCCATTACTCTGAATGTGGCATGTCTGTCGTCCCTCCTGTACTTTTGTGCACTGAAACAGAGCAGAAGTGGCATAAACCACGAACAATGGTTTGTATCATTTCAATACCAGACAGTTGTGTCACATGCATACTAGCATCTCTCCTAATACCATCTCATAAATAAATAGGGAGTGAAGCCAGGACCTGTGGATGCCATGGTTGTAGTGAAGCCCAAACCAGATGCTACTCCGGCAAGCGGAATTAGGTATGCAGAGTCCAATTAAATAGGCAGACTACAATGTGTTAAGAAATAAATGTTATTAATCGCTGTTAGATTCTGGTGTATTTCCTAGTGAACCCTTTACTTTTCCTGATATTGTTATTCCAGATCTACACTTTACAAGGGCTACAGCGGTGAGCTACCAGACCCATCAACCCTCAAACCACTACCTGCCTATGCTGACATGGAACCAGACTCTCTTCCCCTTATCTGCAGAATGAACATCACATCTGACAAACCATTCGTGGACTCTTTTGGTAAGGTACAAACTGGCAGTATCCTGTCATATCAACACCCACCACCTCCACCTGACAGTGTTGTCATCCATGAGGATGCACCACCGTTCCCAAAAGTGCCACTGGACGGTTACCATTTACAACCAACAGACTGTTCATACGAGGTCATGACGGATCAAGAAAAGCTTCACCTCAGTTCTCTGTCTGTGACTTTGTCACAGTCACACCTGATTGAGGAAGCAACCAGATGCCAAAGTGAAACACCCGAGTGGCATTCACTGAGGAAGGAGAGAGTGACTGCTTCACATTTCCGGGAGGTAAGCTATGTTAGAGGTACAAGCACAGCAGAAAAACTGTCAGAAAGAATTATCAGAGGGACAAGACAAACATCACTAATGAAAAGGGGGCTGGAAATGGAAGCAGGTGCATTGAAGGACTATGCAGTTCTAAAAAATCTGACAGTGTGGGCTAGTCGTGCATCCGGACGCACCTTGGCTGGGTGCATCGCCTGATGGGCTGGTATATGACCCACTTGAGCGACCATTATTTGGTCTAGTTGAAATTAAATGCCCAAATGTAGCCAGCTACATAGACTGCAAGTTCCTGAGATTTGACCATGGCCTACACAAATTTAAGGAAAGCCATTGTTAATATTGGCAAGTCCAGGGACAGTTACTCATCACAGGCATGGAATGGTGTGATTTTGTTGTCTGTGCCCACGATGACATTTTCGTGCAGCGCATTTGCCGAGACAGCACTGTATTAAGCTCCCTGAAAGAGAGATGTGATTTGTTTTTCTTTAACACATACATGTCAAAATACCTCTCTATGAAAAGTAACTGAACAGACACATGAATTTTTGTACAATCATTTTAAAATGTATTTTGTCAACTGTCTTATTTACAACATTGTAATATTAAAGGGGCACTATGCAGTTTTGGTCATTTCTTCGCTTTCTTCTCTATAGAGCTCCCCCTACATATAGATATCTGGCAGCTCCTATGTTTACTTGTGTCTGACTCCTCGCTCGGTCAGCCTGCCGTTTTCTCTTTCTCTGTTCCTCCGACAATGCTTTCCTAGCTTTCTGCTTCTTTTTGGCCGGCTCAGCCATGACGATAGTTCGAGAACACCTCACTCTGGAGGAGAAGAGAACTAGGTGTTTGGCAGCATATTTCGGTACAGTCCAAAATAATTTGTGTGTCAGAGTAACCCTGGAAAACCTCTGGCATGTGAGATTTGACAGTCTCCTCATCCAGCCAAATACCCACAGCCCCTAGTACAGTATACACGAAGTTAGCCCATGTATTTATGATGGTAATTCATGAAGAGAAAAAATGTGTCAATGGGTTGAAGAACCTGAAAAGAGTAAGAATTCCATTATTACCTCATTACACAAATAGATTGTTACTGGCTTAACTTTCAAGATGATAAGATGATGCAATATATCTTGCTTTGTAAGAACAACTGTAAAATATATTCACCGTTGCATTGCCAGTGTGAGGGACCTCATCAGTCTTTGCTACACTTCGTACTCTTGTCACTCGTATGATCTTGCAGGTGGCTGGCTCTATCTGCTTACAAAAGGCCATCAGGTGGGCATGACTTGCAAACCTGTGGGACATACGTGTTACATTTATATATGTTAAGTGTCCATACACAACATTAAATTGCAAGCATGTTAGCATCCTTATTGACAGTTATACAACATCTTAGAACATTTGGCACTAAGGTCAGAAACTGGACCACGCACACGTCAGTCCTTTTGCTTACTGCTCTTCTCAGTATTTTAAAATACTATTAATGCGCTAGTAGATAGCCTAGATCTAGATAGTTTTAGATAGATACTTTACTCATCCCGAGGGAAATTCAAGGTTTCCAGTAGCTTACAACAACACACATCATGCATGCAACATTTAAACAGATAATAATACTAGTCAATGTTGACAGCTCAAATACATAGGCCTATATATTAAACACATTGGACATTTTAATTTACCTTGTGAAAAACCTTATGTCATCATCAGATCCAGCAAACCGCTCCAAGCAGAACTTGCTGCTGATAGTTATCTCCTCAATTTGATTTCGGAGCCTTGCTATCTCTACACTAAGTTCTTCATTGTGGTCCAGGGACATATCCAGCGCAGCAGGTTCAGTACTGTTGCAGTAGTCATGGTCAGGAGGACAGTCCAATTCCACAGACGGATCATTCATGGTTTCTGTGTTGGGACGCTTGGTCCTTTCCCAAACTCTGGGCCGTGGGGCTGGAAGACTGAAATTGTTCCATTGAAACAGCACTGGAACAGCTCCCTTCTTCAGACGTCTGCGCCCAGCTGGAGTCGGAGGCTCTATCACATCTTCACTTAGAACGTGTCGGCTGCAGACTCGTGTGTTTGTTGTAAGAAAGTTGACTCGTCGAATGTTAATCACCCACCGTTTATGTAATTCACTGTCTTTGGGAAAAGTAAAAAAACTAACAGAAGAATTGCATCTGGCAGACACTGTACATTGCGGCACACAGCAGTGATGGCTGGACTAGCTGTCATCCCATTTTTGAAAGGACACTTTCGTACGTTTACACGTCATCATGTTATAAGTCAAGACGAAGTATTACAAGTAAAAACATTAACATAAACATTAAGATAAACAACAACAACGACGAAAATTAACAGTTTCTGATGTTTTTGACGACAAGCATTCAATGCTAGCATACGGTAGCATAGCATTCTACGATAACTGGAAGTTTACATCCATCCTGAGATTTAACCAGAAATACGTCATGCTCGCCTGTGCATATCGCCTATTATCAGAGCATTGTCTTTTTCAAATTGGGTTGAATATGGTTTGTAAATGGCTTTAAATCACCGTCATCTAGTGGCCTAGTCTGTACTCTGACTTGCGCTCTCTGACGCAAAAGATTTGGCTCAGAACTCCAGCACTGCAGGTGGCGATAAATCACCAATATTAGCTTTTCGCTTTGACTACTTAAAAATTTAGATAAACAAATAACAGTTGTCACAAAGTGCTTATACAGATACCCAGCCTAAAACCACAAAGAACAAGCAATGCAGATCTAGAAGTAAAGTGGCTAGGAAAAACTCCCTAGAAAGGCAGCAACCTAGGAAGAAACCTAGAGAGGAAGCAGGCTCCGAGGGGTTACCAGTCCTCTTCTGGCTGTGCCGGCTGGAGATTATAAGAGTGCATGGCCATTTATGCCAGATCGTTCTTCAAGACCACATCTATCAAACACAAGGCCCGCGGGCAGAATCCGGCCCGTGACACATTTCTATCCAGCCCACACAATGATTTGGGTTGTCAATTCATTTTGGTCCAAGCCTGCACTACAAGTCACAGCAAACAGCAGTGCATTGCCACACACACACCCCTCCTCCCAGACCCACCCACACACGAGCCAGCCAGTGCACTGTATCATATCATCACTAATGGCACTGACCGAATCTTCTACCTGACTGAAAGTTTAAATGTGTTTAGGCTAAATGTCCTGTCCATACCAAGTTTAGGTTCCAACTGGTCATTGCTGTAGCCTACAGAAAATGTCATCTTGGTTGTCAAAAAGTGCCTTAATAACAAAATTGTATATAATCTGTAAATACGAATAAAATGTCAAATTACAAGCCTAGTTGGTTTAGCCACGGAAAATACAGGAACCTTCCCGCTAGCCATGATTAGCTGAGATAATGGATGGGCTGGACATGGCGAGAGATGAGTTTCGGATTGGTCTGCCATGTTGCATGCTTCTGTGTGTAACATGTGCTGCTCAGTATGTGTGGATAATCCTTTCTACCGCAGCTTTTAAAAAAAGATATCATGAAGAACTGAAAAAGTGTTGCTACTGCTTTCAACATTGCTGCCCTGAAGTTAATAGCACTATCAACAAAGATCAGTGGGAAAAAGTTGTGATGGACTACTTTCTGGAGGACGATTGTGTCACGCCTGGCTCTGGGGACAATGTTATGTTGAGCCAGGGTGTGTATTCTATGTTTGATTTTCTATGTTGGGCTGAGTGACTCCCAATCAGAGGCAACGAGTGACAGCTGGTTGTCTCTGATTGGGAGCCATATTTAACTATCGGTCTTTTCACTTTGTGTTGTGGTTTCTTGTTCCGTGTTGGTTTGTTTTTGTAACCAAGGACGTCACGTTTCGTTGTTTTGATCGTGTGATCTTGATAAAATAAATATGTTTGCTTTCAACGCTGCGCCTTGGTCCTCTCCCTCCTTAGACGATCGTGACAGAAGAAACCACCATAACAGGACCAAGCAGCGTGAAGAGAGAAGAGGATGGACTTGGGAGCAGTTGAGTAGGAGTCTCGACTGGGCCAAGCCAAGAGAAGAGGAGAGAGGTTGGACTTTGGAGCAGTGGGGTGAGAGTCTGGCGAGAACGATGGAGGCCTGGCCCACGGGGAGGAGAGACCCCCAGAAAATTTTTAGGGGGGGGCTCACGACGTCGGACCAGCAGGAGGCCGCGATAGAGCGGCCCAGCGGGTTGCCAGAGGAGGCCGCCAGGTTACGGGGGCCACTGGTCGAAGAGGGGATGGAGGATGTAGAGGCACGGCGAGAGGTACTGGGGTGTGTTACCAGTCCGGTCCGGCCCGTTCCAGATCCCGAGGTAGAGCCAGTGGTGTGTGTCCCCAGTACGGTCCGGCCTGTTCCAGCCCCTCGCACCAAGTGTACGGTGCGCGTCGCCAGCCCAGCCCGGCCTGTCCCTGCTCCACGCACCAAGCCTACGGGGTGCGTCGCCAGCCCAGTCCGGCCCATCCAAGCTCCCCGCACCAAGCCAGTGGTGTGCGTCATCAGTCCGGCACGGCCCGTGCCTGCTCTCCGCACCAAGTCTGTGGTGCGTTTCGTCAGCCCTGTCCGGCCCGTTCCTGCTCTCCGCACCAAGTCTGTGGTGCGCGTCGCCAGCCCAGTCCGGTCCATTCCTGCTCCACGCACCAAGCCAGGGGTGCGTATCGTCAGTCCGGCTCCGGCCAGCGGGGCCAGACCGGACCAGGGGTACTTTGGGGGGTTGGAGAGGGAGTGGGGATCAGGCCCGGAGCCGGATCCGCCGCCAAGGCGGAGTGCCCACCCGGTCCCTCCCCTGTGGGATTTAGTTGGCGCGGTCGGAGTCCGCGCCTTTAGGGGGGGGTACTGTCACGCCCTGGCTCTGGGGACAATGTTATGTTGAGCCAGGGTGTGTATTCTATGTTTGATTTTCTATGTTGGGCTGAGTGACTCCCAATCAGAGGCAACGAGTGACAGCTGGTTGTCTCTGATTGGGAGCCATATTTAACTATCGGTCTTTTCACTTTGTGTTGTGGTTTCTTGTTCCGTGTTGGTTTGTTTTTGTAACCAAGGACGTCACGTTTCGTTGTTTTGATCGTGTGATCTTGATAAAATAAATATGTTTGCTTTCAACGCTGCGCCTTGGTCCTCTCCCTCCTTAGACGATCGTGACAGAAGAAACCACCATAACAGGACCAAGCAGCGTGAAGAAGAGAGAGGATGGACTTGGGAGCAGTTGAGTAGGAGTCTCGACTGGGCCAAGCCAAGAGAAGAGGAGAGAGGTTGGACTTTGGAGCAGTGGGGTGAGAGTCTGGCGCGAACGATGGAGGCCTGGCCCACGGGGAGGAGAGACCCCCAGAAAATTTTTAGGGGGGGGCTCACGACGTCGGACCAGCAGGAGGCCGCGATAGAGCGGCCCAGCGGGTTGCCAGAGGAGGCCGCCAGGTTACGGGGGCCACTGGTCGAAGAGGGGATGGAGGATGTAGAGGCACGGCGAGAGGTACTGGGGTGTGTTACCAGTCCGGTCCGGCCCGTTCCAGATCCCGAGGTAGAGCCAGTGGTGTGTGTCCCCAGTACGGTCCGGCCTGTTCCAGCCCCTCGCACCAAGTGTACGGTGCGCGTCGCCAGCCCAGCCCGGCCTGTCCCTGCTCCACGCACCAAGCCTACGGGGTGCGTCGCCAGCCCAGTCCGGCCCATCCAAGCTCCCCGCACCAAGCCAGTGGTGTGCGTCATCAGTCCGGCACGGCCCGTGCCTGCTCTCCGCACCAAGTCTGTGGTGCGTTTCGTCAGCCCTGTCCGGCCCGTTCCTGCTCTCCGCACCAAGTCTGTGGTGCGCGTCGCCAGCCCAGTCCGGTCCATTCCTGCTCCACGCACCAAGCCAGGGGTGCGTATCGTCAGTCCGGCTCCGGCCAGCGGGGCCAGACCGGACCAGGGGTACTTTGGGGGGTTGGAGAGGGAGTGGGGATCAGGCCCGGAGCCGGATCCGCCGCCAAGGCGGAGTGCCCACCCGGTCCCTCCCCTGTGGGATTTAGTTGGCGCGGTCGGAGTCCGCGCCTTTAGGGGGGGGTACTGTCACGCCCTGGCTCTGGGGACAATGTTATGTTGAGCCAGGGTGTGTATTCTATGTTTGATTTTCTATGTTGGGCTGAGTGACTCCCAATCAGAGGCAACGAGTGACAGCTGGTTGTCTCTGATTGGGAGCCATATTTAACTATCGGTCTTTTCACTTTGTGTTGGGTTTCTTGTTCCGTGTTGGTTTGTTTTTGTAACCAAGGACGTCACGTTTCGTTGTTTTGATCGTGTGATCTTGATAAAATAAATATGTTTGCTTTCAACGCTGCGCCTTGGTCCTCTCCCTCCTTAGACGATCGTGACAGATTGTGCCATGCTCTCTGACTCTGAAAATGAATCAGACGATGAGGAAATCCCTAATTTTGATAAAAACATTTATATTGAACCAGAGATTGTAGAGTCTTCTGATGACAGTGATGGGGAAGAAACAGTGATCAACAGTGTTTTCGTCACGGAAGAAGTGTTTTGAAATCAGTGGAATGCCCGGTGGAAGCAGAGAGATGATTGCCAAATGCGGGTAGATTCGAAAAGAGAACACAGAAGGCTGTTGTATAAAACACCTGTCTCTAGATTACATCTTCAAACTAAGGGCAACCATGGCATCCATGACAGAGAGGGAGAAGCCTTCATCCATGTACATGGGTAAGAGTCTAGCTACATTTTCAGATATTATAAATGTCTAATTTTGTCAGAAAGTCATTTTCATTGCAAGTTAAAGCGTACTGTTAGCTAGCTAGCTAACATTAGCTGGTTGGCTTGTTAGCTAACGTTACGTGTATGATCTGTGTAGTAATATTATTTGCATCTCAGAAAGCCATTTTAATTGCTAGTTATAGCCTAATGTTAGCTAGCTGGCTAACA